CTGCGGATGATTACAAACCAGTCGATCATTACAAACCATGTCATAATATTCGCGTATATTCGTTTGTTTGTGTTAAATTAATTGACTTTTATAGCGCAGATTGGATTGCAAGAGACGCAAAAAACGCACAATCTCGTAGATTGAACACAGAGGCAATAATTTCCGCAAGAGATTCTCTGTTTGAAATTGCTGTCAGATTTAATGTTGATTAAAAACCAAAATGTTTTTCGGAGTTACTGTTATTTTGAGTTTTGTTAACATATTTCAAACTAGTGCGAAAACAAAATAAATATATGTTATTTACCGACTGCGAGGTCGGTACAAAAAATATTTTCCCGAAGTCTCAAAAGCGGCCCTAGGCCGAAGTCCGTGAGACGCTTCTGTGGCCGAGGGAAAATTTTTTTAGTACGGAAAGAACTAAACGGTAAATAACGTGTTTATTTTTCTATTTGATAGCTCACGGTTATAACTAGAAAATACATGCATTCAGAAACCCTCGCCTTGCTCACAAACAGACGTAATCATTGTATTTTCCGAACATGAAGTATCACAAGTAGTTGTCATGGTAACACGATAATTTTTTAAGAATATTCTTACAAATGAAAAATCACCTAAAAAATATCACAAAATTATTAATTTCCCAACATACATATGTTAGGTATGTTATTATACGTAATATAAGCCTCAATTTAAGGTAAAATTCAACCGTAAACGCTTCGCAAAACATTTTAAAGTCACTAGTGTTCTTTATAAAACTAAACAGCCTTTTAAAATGGCTTTATCAATAAACTTTGAGTTTGCAATAACATGACTTCAATTTCTCGCTTGCAAATAACTCTGAATTCTTTTTTATTTAAGAAAATTCCATATCATAAAAAAGGGAATCAATATTACTAAAGATACACTGAAATTATATGCTGTCTGGTTTAGTTGTTTCGTTTACGCAAGGGCCGTCGGGTTTTAAATTAAATCCATTATAAAATCAACATTTAAAACAAACTTACCTTCGTTAACGTCGGCTCACTTCTTTTAGCCGATTCTTTTGCCTTTTCTTTCTTGAAATTTACAAAATCTTGCAAAAATGCGAGCAAAATTGAAATATATTTGCAAGAAATTTATCAATCATCAAATCAAGAATTGTTTGCTATTTCGCTGTCGTCATGCAGTCGTTATAATGCAAACTTTAAATTGGACCAATCAGTTTTCGTTGTTCATGACAGTCCGTCACATATTTTGAGATCAGTGAGGATGACCACCCACCGAAACTTCGTTGATGAGCCACGCCCGCGATATTTGATGAACTTTAGACTTCGCTAATGCTTTCGTTTCCCCAGGCGTAAATAGCCAGGAGGAATTAGTACCCTCGCACGGCACTTCGCGCCGTCGGCTCGGGCATGAATACCGATAAAATTCCAGTTGTTGTAAGTACATTTGAGATCGGTTGCGTTTGTTACTTTAGTGCAAGCATGGCTGTGAAACTGCTAAAATGACGAGATAAAAGTTGGATAAATGGCTTTTAGTTTCATTGCAATAGATACTTTTCTACTGAACAAGAAAACAGAAGGTAAACTAGGTAAATATATTTATCTTCCGGTTTGTTTTACATCATGGACATGCTTGAAAAATACTTTTTGACAGAAAAATACAAATTTTAGTTGCCGAAAACAATTTGTTAATTACAACTTTTATAAAAACAATTTTGACCGAAATAAGCTTAGGAAGTTTCTTTAAACTTGGCATTTAAAGTACTTTTTTAAAATTTTATGTTTAAGGGCAAGTTGTACGTTTCCTATCACTCCTTTGTTTCCGCCCAGGATCGAACTGGGACCTTGCACGTGATGACCACTGCACTACGGAAACCTGCATGCCGATAAATGTTCGCCAATGCATGGCCAATTCATTCCCAGATGTGGAAGTTTTAACTGGGAGAAAACTACTTGACATATCATGGAAAATCGCTGTGTCGATCCAATTAATTTTTAAATAATTAAATGCTAATCAGCTAAAAAACATCTTCGTGGTGTCAGTTTGAAGCAGCACATTGACAGTGAATCTCGCGTTCTCCCCATCACTCAATCTTGAGATCAATCGTTGGAAACAGCTGTCATGATTATTGCTTCGTTAAATATTGGGCGGTAGGGTAGATCTCGACTGCCGGTCAATGCATTAATCAGCGTTTAGCATGAAACAGTTTTTAGGGAAGATTACGCTAGAACAGGTAGAAAACAATTGGCAAGTTCTTCTCTCTTCGCTCGCGAAAACGGGGCAAATGAAAGCAATAGAAGGAAAAGTTGATTGTGCAACCCTTATCGCGCGTCACAAATTAACGGTCTTTAAAAATTGGTTTACCTTTTCACAACCGATGATGTACGCAAGTTAAAACTTGATAATAAACGGGCTCGCTTCGCAACACATTAACTATGTTTCCGCCCAGGTTCGAACTGGGGACCTTGCGTGTGTGAAGCGCACGTGATGACCACTACACTACAGAAACTTGCTCGGTGAAGCACAATTCAGTGCGTTGCTGAATATTGGTCTCTTCATTTTCTGTAAACAAAAGACCAAATGCATGCTTCTGCCCAGGATCGAACTGGGGACCTTGCGCACGTAGAGCGCACGTGATGACCGCTACACTACAGAAACAAGCGCATGCTCGGAAGCCTTTGCAAATTAACCCAGTTTCAGACGTTCAAAATTGACTGAAAATTCATTCATTTGATCCTCCCGCAGAAGTCCGTTTTGATTCTTCTCTTGAAGCAATAGAAGGAGCAATAATGTGCGATGTAAGAAACGATTGTTGATTTAGTTGCAGTCGGATGTATTTTTCTGGTTTAAATGAAATATTTTTTCCCCATTATTTAAGAAAGTAAAATAATGTAAAGTACAGTAGGCACGAAGGTTATCAGCTGTCGTGATAGCCGTGCGGTCAAAGGCGTCAGACTCAAGTTTGCAAACTTGCTCTGCAAATGCGCAGCCAAAGGGCGTTCTGGTCCACTAATGTGGGCGTGGTTGTGAATCCCACTCCTGACAGAAAATTTTAAAATTATTTCGTGAGGCCGTTGAATATATTGGTGCAATTCTTAATCCTGAGGATGACTACAAACCAGTCGAAGCGTTGATTAAAAACCAAAATGTTGTTTGGAGTTACTGTTATTTTGACTTTTGTTAACATATTTCACACTAGTGGGGAAACAAAATAAATATATGTTATTTACCGACTGCGAGGTCGGTAACAAAAAAATATTTTCCCTAGGTCTCAAAAGCGGCCCGAGGCCGAAGTCCGTGAGACGCTTTTGAGGTCAAGGGGAATTTTTTTATTAGTACGGAAAGAACTAAACGGTAAATAACGTGTTCATTTTTTGATTTGATAGTTCACGGTTATAATGATACCGATAAAATTCCAGTTGTTGTAAATACATTTGAGATCAGTTGCGTTTGTTACTTCAGTGCAAGCATGGCAGTGAAACTGCTAAAATGGCGCGATAAAGGTTGGATAAATGGCTTTTAGTGTCATTACAATAGATGCTTTTCTACTGAGCAAGAAAACAGAAGGTAAACTAAGTAAAAATATTTATCTTCCGGTTTGTTTTACATCATGGACATGCTTCAAAAATACTTTTTGACAGAAAAATACAACTTTTAGTTGCCGAAAAACAATTTGTTCATTACAACTTTTATAAAAACTATTTTGACCGAAATAAGCTTAGGAAGTGTCTTTAAACTTGCCATTTAAAGTGCTTTTTTAAAATTTTATGTTTAAGGGCAGGATGAACGTTTTCTATCAATCCTTTGTTTCCGCCCAGGATCGAACTGGGGACCTTGCACGTGTTAGGCGCACGTGATAACCACTACACTACGGAAACCTGCATGCTGAAAAATGTTCGCCAATGCATGGCTAATTCATTCCCAGGTGTGGAATTGAAGTTTTACCTGGTAGGAAAGTACTTGCTATATCAGGGGAAATCGCTGTGTCGATCCAATTAATTTTTAATAATTAAATGCTAATCAGCTAAAAAATATCTTCGTGGTGTCAGTTTGAAGCAGCACATTGACAGTGAATCTCGCGTTCTCCCCATAACTCAATCTTGAGATGAATCGTGGAAAACAGCTGTCATATTTATTGCTTCATTAAATATTGGGCGGTAGGGCAGATCTCGACTGCCGGTCAATGCATTAATCAGTGTTTAGCATTAAACAGTTTTTAGGGAAATTACGCTAGATCAGGTAATAAATAATGCGCAAGTTCTTCTCTCATCGATCGCGAAAACGGGGCAAATGGAAGCAATAGAAAGAAAAGTTGATTGTACAACCTGTATCGCGCGTGACAAATTAACGGTCTTTAAAAATTGGTTTACCCCAGGCGCTCCCCAGTACGTACCCTTCCCAATAGGCCTTTCGCTCGTCGGCTGCCTACCTGAATACGTCATCTAAGTGCCTGGGTACGAGGCAGCCACTGTATCGTGAATTCGCCTCCCAAGCCTCCACGCTAAGTCACAAAATGTTATTGCTAAATCACAATTGTATAATCCCTTTAATTAATAAATCTCAAACTTTAACAAACAAAATCTACCCTCTGACGTTTAACGTTCCTAGTACGTTTTTCCCGTCGCCATCTTTGAACCATTATATATTTTGTTACATAGCGTACTTTTATCATCTAGCACGCGAACGGGCAATTTACCCCTATCTATCCCTACACCGGAAAATCTCCAACAGATTACGCTAGAAAAGGTGATAAATAATGCGCATATTTTTCTCTCTTCGATGGCAAAAACGGTGGAAATAGAAGCAATAGAAAGAAAAGTTGATTGTGCAACCGGTATCGCAAGTCACAAATTAACGGTCTTTAAAAATTGGTTTACCATTTCACAACCGATGATGTAGGCAAGTTAAAATTTGACAATAAACAGCCTGGCTTCGCACCACATTTACTATGTTTCCGCCCAGGTTCGAACTGGGGACCTTGCGCTTGTGAAGCGCACGTGATGACCACTACACTACACTATTCATTCTTTATTACAAATTAATTTACAGGTGATGGGTCTTGCTTAAGTCCTAGTCAATATATACAATTAGTGCCATTAATGGTCATAGTATCAAGATCAGTTCATATAAGTGAGTTATCTTTGTCCTAAGAATTTAAAAGTTCTATAAATCTATAATGTTCCAAATATATAAGTAAAGTTCCTTCATATGCACAGAATGTGAATTAGATACTGATTACAAATATCTATTGAGCATGGTACTCAGAGTTATCTGCATCCACAGAACCCTCTGTTATTTCAAGATGTTCCCGGTAAATGTTTGTTGATCCTTGGATTGTGTCAGTGCAACACAATTTCCTAAACAAAGAACGATATTGTTTGGACATCCCAAGTTGTCGTAAAACGTTTTCATTGGCTGGATTGCAGGAACCAAGGGCACCGATCACCAAACCAAAGACCTCGCATTGCTTCCCTTGACCAACGAAGAATTGGTTTAGCCCTTCATATTTATTCAGTTTCCGTTGTTCAGCGTCACGCAGGGCTTCAGCATTATTATCGAAGGGGCAACATACATCAATAATAAGCACTTTGTTATCTTCTTCTACAATTATGTCTGGGCGAAGACGAGAATTAGGGGCGCGAACTTGTTGGTCGGTGGTGATAGTTCCACTTTGAACGGCGTTGACGATGCGGTCCACTATGGTATTGTGTCTCCGCAGGATACTAGGCATGTTACGAAGGCAGTGGCAAAACACATGAGGGAGAGTCTCATCCGAGTTACAATGGCGACATTTTGGACAGGAATTAGACCAACGACTCTTCACATTATTTACTGGGAGGCAGTTAAGTCGAGCACGGTGGATGAAACGCCAATCTCTGAAACGAATGTTTAAGCCATTATATTGCCAGGTAGAACCATTGGCGAAGGTGTCGGTAGTAAGCGCACTGCCCACTTTTCCTTGATCAGGAAGAGCAAGTAAGGTGGAAGCAAAACGATCTTGAACATGAAAATGAAGGAAACGGCTGGCTTCTTTGGCAAGAACAGAACCAGAGTTCTCTGTGGAAAGGATAGGGAGACCATTGTCATTTAATTGAATTTCAACACCAAGTTTACGTGTCGATTTACGAACTCGGGTCCATAATGATTGAATGTTATAACGTAAGTTGGTCAAACGGTCATCGGGGAGGCTAGACAGGTATTTTGATTTTAAAGCAGGGGTTGGATTAGATCGAGTCGGACAGTTTGGTTTATCTTAGCATTAGCAATGTTGCTTACAATCGGGTCGGAACAGGAGAGCATTTTAACTGCATGGATTATTGGCTGGACATCAGCCTCAAGGGTTGGATCGAGGAGAACGAGACCACCAACGCGTTTATGAGCGAAGATGTAGGAAGCAGAAGCACGGGATGGTAGTGCACATATTCTACGAACTGTGGCCACACACACTACACTACACTACACTACACTACACTACACTACACTACACTACACTACACTACACTACACTACACTACACTACACTACACTACACTACACTATTCATTCTTTATTTCAAATTAGTTTACAGGTGATGGGTCTTGCTTAATAGTCCTAGTCATTATAACAATTAGTGCCATTAATGGTCATATAAATATCAAAATGGTAGATCGTGTCCGATATAAATATCGTAGTTTATGCTAGATGTTCATAGCTAAGAATATTTATTACTCTAGAAGGTGGTGTACCACATTTCTCAAAGAATCTGCGGGTTTGAGATTTCTCTAACTCATCAATGTTACTACAAAAGTTATAAAATTGTTCGCAATTCTTGAAAGTGTCATTGGGAATTTGGTCATCGTTAAATTTGTACTGTAGGTGGTCTTTGACATAATTTTGAATTTTTTCCTTGTTGGTCTGGAGATCCGCAGCACACGTTTTATAAAATTCATCAACAGGATCAAGATCAGACTTCGGACATTCAATTACATGAAGATGGGCAAGGTAGGAGGGAATAGAATCATGGCATAATCTGCATGTGCCGTTTAAATTCATGAATTCGGCATCGATGGCGTGAGACAAATATCCGTTTGAAAAGGACAGTTTTTTAGGAGTAAGGCCAAAAGAATTTGTACGTGGATCAAAGTCACTAGCCGGCTCATAGTCGGAATCAGAAAACAGCTCCTCTTCGTCAGATTTTTCATGACTAACTGACAAATCCGGATTAACATCGCTCGCGTGACTCTGTTGATTACTCTCGAGACTGTGTTGATTATTATTACACTGCGGTGAATTATTAATTTTAACTTGATCAGCTTTGGGGCTTATATTTTCACTTGTATTCTCAGATTTCGGGGTAATACTCGCTTTAGCTTTAATATTAGCCGTATCCACCGATTGAGGACGATAGAGATCTTGTCTATTAACCAATTTTCGAGGCGATTTGAACAATTTAGTGCAAGTCCCAGGCGAGTTATTTGGAAAGTTTGCAATGTTTTCATTATACGCACGCCGTGAATATATTGGCGATTCTTTATGACTATCGGACCTGTTCGCAGATTTATAACCAGAGTCCGCTTGATAACTTAGATTATGGCGACGATAGGGTGTAGAAAAACTTGAAGGACTGTTTGTTGAGGAATTAAGGGCGAAATCAGTTGAATTTTGGTTGTAGATTGACGAATTTGAAACATTAATACGAGAATGCTGACTAGACACTTTCCATTCTAATTTCAAACAAAGTTTCTTGCCAGTAAACGAAGTATTCCAAGACGGTTGATCGAGGTTATATGTAGCTAGGGAGCTAAGGACTGATTTAGGAAATACATCAACGTTGACACTCGTATATACTTGGCCACAAAGGTCCCATTCGGCTTTGAATTTGACATATTTAGTCGCAACATTAATATCCCAAGTTGGTTGACAACGAATATTAAAACTCTCGATGATGTTGACCGCTTGAACTGGTATAGGATAATAAGAACATTTGACATAATCTTCTGGGTTCGGAGAATGAATTTGAGGAGTATTTGGCGTAGGGAGAAGTCCAGCTTTGGGCGAATAAAACATAGTTCACGATATTAATATATTTCGCGAGTAATAACAACAACAACGTGTTCGCTACAAAACGAAAGTAACGAATTTTTCCGATAAATCCTTGACAAATAAGATCAAACTTGTACCAGAAGAGAGAGAAAATTCTTGGCAACAATTCGATTTACAAACTGTCAGAAACGAGCCAGTGTGAGCGCTCCAAAAGAAAGAAAATTACAGAGCCGAAATTGTGCGTGGAGTCCACTACACTACACTACACTACACTACACTACACTACACTACACTACACTACACTACACTACACTACACTACACTACACTACACTACACTACACTACACTACACTACACTACACTACACTACACTACACTACACTACACTACACTACACTACACTACACTATACTACACTACACTACAGAAACTTGGCTGGTGAAGCACGAGTTCAGTACGTTGCTGAATTTTGCTCTCTTCTTTTTCTGTAAATAAAACACCAAAAGCATGCTTCTGCCCAGGATCGAACTGGGGACCTTGCGCACGTAAACCGCACGAGATGACCGCTACACTACAGAAACAAGCGCCTGCTCGCAATCCTTTGCAAACTTCCCCTGTTTGAAACGTTTAATATTAACTAAAAATTCATTCATTTGATCCTCACGCAGAAGCCAATTTTGTTTCTTCTCTTGAAGCAATAGAAGGAGCACTGACGTGCGATGTAAGAAACAATTGTTGAGTTAATTGCAGTCGGATGTATTTTTCTGGTTTAAATAAAATGTTTTTTCTCCATTATTTAAGAAAGTAAAATGATGTAAAGTACAGTGAGCACAAAGGTTGTCAGATGTCAGGATGTCAGAGCGGTCAAAGGCGCCAGACTCAAGTTTCCAAACTTGCTTTTCTATTGCGCAGCCAATGGGCGTTCTGGTCCACTAATGTGGGCGTCGGTTCGAATCCCACTCCTGAAAGAAAATTTTAAAATTATTTCGTGAGGCCGTTGAATAGATTGGTGCAATTCCAAATCCTGAGGATTACTATAAACCAGTCGAAACCTTGATTAAAAACCAAAATGTTGTTCGGAGTTACTGTTATTTTGAGTTTTGTTAACATATTTCACACTAGTGCGGAAACAAAATAAATATATGTTATTTACCGACTGGGACGTCGGTACAAAAAAATATTTTCCCGAGGTCTCAAAAGCGGCCCGAGGCAGAAGTCCGTGCGACGCTTCTGAGGCCAAGGGAAATTTTTTTTTGTACGGCAAGAACTAAACGGTAAATAACGTTTTCATTTCTTGATTTCATAGTTCACGGTTATAATGATACCGATAAAATTCCAGTTGTTGTAAGTACATTTGAGATCAGTTGCGTTTGTTACTTTAGTGCAAGCATGGCTGTGAAACTGCTAAAATGACGCGATAAAAGTTGGATAAATGGCTTTTAGTTTCATTGCAATAGATGCTTTTCTACTGAGCAAGAAAACAGAAGGTAAACTAAGTAAAAATATTTATCTTCCGGTTTGTTTTACATCATGGACATGCTTCAAAAATACTTTTTGACAGAAAAATACAACTTTTAGTTGCCGAAAAACAATTTGTTCATTACAACTTTTATTAAAACTATTTTGACCGAAAAAAGCTTAGGAAGTGTTTTTAAACTTGGCATTTAAAGTACTTTTTTAAAATTTTATGTTTAAGGGCAAGATGAACGTTTTCTATCCATCCTTTGTTTCCGCCCACGATCGAACTGGGGACCTTGCGCGTGTTAGGCGCACGTGATGACCACTACACTACAGAAACTTGGCTGGTGAAGCACGAGTTCAGTGCGTTGCTGAATTTTGGTCTCTTCATTTTCTGTAAATAAAACACCAAATGAATGCTTCTGCCCAGGATCGAACTGGGGACCTTGCGCGCGTAAAGCGCACGTGATGACCCCTACACTACAGAAACAAGCGCATGCTCTGAACCCTTTGCAAACTAACCCAGTTTCAAACGTTCAAGATTGACTGAAAATTTATTCATTAGATATTTCTGCAGCAGTCCATTTTGATTCTTCTCTTGAAGCAATAGAAGGAGCACTGACGTGCCATGTAAGAAACGATTGTTCATTTAGTTGCAGTCGGATGTATTTTTCTAGTTTAAATGAAATATTTTTTCTCCATTATTTAAGAAAGTAAATTGATGTAAAGTTCGATAGGCACGAAGTTTGTCAGCTGTCAGGATGGCCGAGCGGTCAAAGGCGCCAGACTCAAGTTTCCAGTCTTGCTTTGCTAATGCGCGACCAAAGGGCGTTCTGATCCACTAATGTGGGCGTGGCTTCGAATCCCACTCCTGACAGATAATTTGAAAATTATTTCGTGAGGCCGTTGAATATATTGGTGCAATTCTTAATCCTGACGATGACTATAAACCAGTCGAAACGATGATTAAAAACCGAAATGTTGTTCGGAGTTACTGTTATTTTGTGTTTTGTTGACGTATTTCACACTAGTGCGCAAACCAAATAAATATATGTTATTTACCGACTGCGAGGTCTGTATTAAGAAAATATTTTCCCGAGGTCTCAAAAGCGGCCCGATGCCGATGGCCATGAGACGTTTCTGGGGCCGAGGAAAAATATTTTTATGTACGAAAGGAACTAAACGGTAAATAACGTGTTTATTCTTTTATTTGGTAGTTCACGGTTATAATGAATACCGATAAAATTCCAGTTGTTGTAAGTACATTTTAGATCAGTTGCGTTTGTTATTTTATTGCAAGCATGGCTGAGAAACTGCTAATACGATGCGATAAAAGTTGCATAAAAAGCTTTTAGTTTCATTGCAATAGTGCTTTTCAATTCAACAAGGAAACAGAAAGTAAACTAAGTGAAAAATATTTATCATCCCGATTGTTTTACATCATGGACATGGTTGAAAAATGCTTTTTGACAGAAAAATACAAATTTTAGTTGCCGAAAAACAATTTGTTCAATACAACTTTGATAAAAATGATTTTGACCGAAATAAGCCTAGGAAGTGTCTTTAAACTTGGCATTTACAGTACTTTTTTAAAATTTTATGTTTAAGGACAAGTTCTACGTTTTCTATCAAACCATTGTTTCCGCCCAGGATCGAACGGGGACCTTGCGCGTGTTAGGCGCACGTGATGACCACTACACTACGGAAACCTGGATGCCGATTATAATATTCTCTTATTTAATAGACTTCTTGATATCTCGGCTACATGTAAACAACTGAATATATAATGTCCATATTCTAAATATAAACTAATCGTAATACGTGCATTAATGATTAATAGACGTACATTGCTATACCGATAAATGTTCGCCAATGGCTAATTCATTCCCAGATGTGGTTGTCTTACCTGGGAGAAAACTACTTGATATATCAAGGAAAATCGCTGTGTCGATCCCATTATTTGTTAAATAATTAAATGCTAATCAGCTAAAAAAATTCTTCGTGGTGTCAGTTTGAAGCAGCACATTGACAGTGAATCTCGCGTTCTCCCCATCACTCAATCTTGAGATCAATCGCGGGAAACAGCTGTAATATTTGTTGCTTCGTTAAAGATTGGGCGGTAGGGCAGATTTTGATTGCCCGTCAATGCATTAATCAGTGTTTAGCATGAAACAGATTTTAGGAAAGATTACGCTAGAACAGATAGTGAATAATGCGCAAGTTCTTCTCCCTTCGATGGCAAAAAATGGGAGAAATAGAAGGAATAGAAGAAAAATTGATTGTGCAACCCGTATCGCGCGTCACTATTAACGGCCTATAAAAACAACCTCGTACTCAGGGCTAGCCGCGAATTGAAGGCGGCGGCGTAGCCCTGGTAAACGCTGGTCACGTGACTCCAACATTACGTAATTGTTACTTTTCTCAACCGGGGTGTGAATTCTAGAGGTGAAACTCGACGACCAACAGTTTTTAGTACGAAATTCTTCAATCTTCCCCGTGAATTTTGCATTTCAAGCTTTTTTCAAAGTACGGCGATCGATCAAATGGATCAATACTTTCTGTGGAAAAACTCAGTGAGATTTGTTCGTATGCGACGTTTGAAAGACTTGAATATGTCGCTCGATCAAGACGCTCGATCATTGCACAGGTTTATGGTTTAGTACTTTGTTCAGTTTGTTGCGACTTCCGAAGCAAATGAATGCAAATTCAACTCTTGTATAATGACTAAAAGTTGGTTAGTAGAGGGACAACTGATACAAAAGATATGAATACTTCAGCTTCAAACTAGGAACAAGTTCTGAAGTTCATGGACATCCCTAATATATGGACATTGATATTTCACCAATATGTAAATATGACTATTAAATATATAAAAGGATTGCTGTTGTGTTTGTACAAGTGTTGTGCTGTGGTATTTACGTTTTAACCCTTTAAGTCAATGCACCCAGATGCGCCCTACTTTGTTATTTTACTCTGTCTAACGGCAGACAATTTTACTCGTCAGGGAGAAAGTGCATGCTGCCACTCAATGGGTTAACATAGTCGATGAACATGCCAAATGATCCTTGACCGTGGTAGTGCATTTTTGCACTTGCTGGATGATATCGCAACCAAGCATTGTTTCAGAGGAAGAGCCCTGAGATCATGTTGTGTAGCAATTGGAATCTCACGTCACGAAGGTCTTGCATAAAGCTTGCAAGACCTTCGCTCAGAAGCCAGGATTAATTTAATTCCCCACATAAACACTTGGAAAACGGACTGTCCCATCTGCCATATGCAGGACAAAAAACATGCAGCCTGGACTTTAACTGTTAAACAACCAAATCAGCATGGTAAACAGTGTGATGATTTTTGCTCAGCCCAAACCAAAGCCAGTTTTCTAGAATTAATTCGCAGAATCCTAACAACTGGACCTCCAACTTGAAGAGCTAGCTGTGCTTACAAAGTGATTTAATGATTTAATGAGATTCGGCTAATATAACGCCAGGGAGTTCGCCACAGGTTTCCCCAATTACGGCGACCCCATAATTAACTTTACGTTTACAATAATTTTAACAGTCGAAACGAACTAATTTAAGACAAAATACAATCGGTGCAAGAGACAACTAACAACAACTTAAAACACCATCAAGGGACCTAGCCATTTTACATTTAACGCACACAGATTTCCATGTTCGCGGATTGTCATAGTTATAAATATTAGATAGCGCGTATTTGTAGTACGTCTTTAGTCCAGATTTCAAAGCTTGCAGGCCAATATCTCTATTACGGAGGTCACTATTTAAAACGTTCCACGTTTTACACGCTCTAATAAGATATGAAGACTGGTATGTTACAGTTCTAGCAAAGGGTATTACAAATCTAATCACGTTTTCGTTGGTTTCACGTCTGGTTATTCCTGATTCAGCTATTATTGGTAGAGCACTCTCATCAATATAGGTATAGTTGTTAATTAACTTATAGAGTAAAACCATGTCCAAATATTCATGCCAATAAGTTATTGGTAGTAACTCCATTTGATGTAATCTGGTTATGTACGAGACATCGGTGGTAAACCCAAGATTTAAGATGTATTTCGTTGCTCTTCTCTGCACCTTCTCGATGTCTTCGATTAACTTAATGGATTGTGGGCACCATACTTGGGATGCATAACCAAAATTGCTGCGTACGAGTTGTAGATACAGAAGCCTCCTCGCGTTGATAACAGTCATCTCCGCGGTAGATCGTCTAATTAGCCCGAGCATTTGGTTGGCTTTCGACCGTACTTTATTTACTTGATCGTTCCATAATAGCTTAGGTCTAATAGTGAGATCAACCTGTGCGTTGGAAACCAACAACTGATCATTGTCAAGCTTATAGGGATAAATTAAAGGCGATTTCTTTCTGGTTATTGACAGCACTTTACACTTAGATTGGTTAAAGCGTAGCCGGTTTTCTATCGACCAACAAAGTAAGCCTTGAATATCATCTTGCAAGAACAATGCATCACAGGGATTCTGCACACATCTGT